AGCAGCTCACATACACTTTGTCTCATGACATTGACTACAATTTCCCACAATGCAACAGCTTCCCTCCCATAGTTACTTCTTCCCTGTGTCCCTCCCTCCCATGCACTCCTGTCCCCTGAGCTGTCTCCCTGTGCACACACAGCCTTTCTGATCTCCCATGATCGATCTCTCCAAGCTACCTAACATAAATAAATGTTCAGCTCATATGCCTGTCTTTTGTTTGGCTGGAAGCCACAGGAGTGGGTTCAATTCCAGACCTGAAGGGCAGCTAGGGGCCATAGTCTCAGTGGTTCCTTCCAGCTCTATCAGACCAGAAAACCTGGTCCTTTTATTTTTTTAATGATTATGAGTTTTGTTTCACATTGTTCTCCCACTCTATCCAGGATCTCCTACAGAGATCCCCCTCCAAGTGCCAAACTATGAATATCTTTTGCCTGGATAAATGTAATGGCCTACTAACTGGCCTCCCTCTTTCAAACCTTGCCTCCTTATAGTCTTTCTCCTCACAGCAGTCAGAGGGATCCTGTTAAATTCTAAAGCAGGCCATGTCTCTCCTCTGCTCAAATCCTTCTGTGGCTCCCATGTCAATTCAGAGTAAAATCCAAAGTCCATACAAAGGCCCCACAAGGCCCCAGACAATCTAGCCTAATGTTTCCTCTTTAAGCCTGTCTTCTCCTACTCTCCCCCTCATTCACTCTGCCCCAACCATATTGGCCTCCTTGTTTCTTGAATTTGCTAAGCACATTCCTCTCTCGGAGTCTTTGCAAGTACTGTTCTCTCTGCCTGGAACACACTTCCTCTAGATCTTTGCAAGTCTTACAACCTCTCTTTCAGATCTTTTCAAATAGCATTTCCTTACAGATACATCCTTGATCACTCTATCCAAAAAAGCACATTCACAATCACTTTCTATCTCCCTTACTCTATTTTCTCTTTCTTCTAATCCACAAACGGACATGAAATTGATTTTTTTTTCCTTGTCTGTTTTCTCCACTAGAGTGTAAGATCCGTGAAGGCAGGAATTTTTTTTTTTTTTTT